AAAACATTTCCTGTTTCTGCAAATGTTGTTTATGTTTATCTTTGGTATCAGTAACTCAGTTGGTTTTGATTTCTACTGTTTTATTCTAGTATCCCCAATACTACATTCACCAAATTCCAAGAAGCCGGGAGGTTCAGCAGTCCTGGTTCTCCACAGTGTTCACCACCTTGCACTCCATGTGGGTCTCCTTTCCTCTGATTCTCCAAGTAAAGCCAGACTTGGTAAGCAAAACCATCACTAAGGAGAGGGAAGGTGTCTCTCCTATGGATCTTTCATTTAGATTTATTATTTTCTTAAACAGCTAACATTTATCAGTGTGCCAGGTAGTATACTGGACTTTTTACTAATATGTGCTAAAAATCATCACTTAAATGTACTTTGCTGAAAGAGGTAACAATTTTTTATCTTCCTTTTCTCCCTATGACTTCAACTCAAAAGTTGCCCTTTTGTCCTCCTTGCCTCTTGTCATAAACACTAATACAGCAAGCAGTATCTTTAACCAGTTTATGTGCCAGTTCATCTGTGGTTCCTAACCGGCTTCATGTGCTGGTCAGCAATAGTCTTTTTGTTTTTAACAAGACTCTATAGCCAGATATGGATTTAGTGGGCAGAATGTCATACATGTTCAGGTGTTCATAAGAAAGCAGTACAGAAAATCAGCAAAAAATTGATTAGTATTCACTGTATTCAGCCTTCCTTTCCTTACCTCTAAAAGTCTTAAGTTCTCTTGTGGTTTTTAAGATGAAGTTCTATTATTAAATTACAAATGTACTTCAGTAGACAATGTATATCAGTGTATTTATTATCACAGTTCTTAAATAATGCCCTCAATTCTGTTGAAGGCAGAATCCATTAACTGGCAAAGCCTGAAAGGAAACTCTTACTTACTTCCTAGATATATGAGTTCTGGCAAGGTGTGTATTATTCTCATGAATAGTTGAACAGAAATGCATTTAGCTACAGTGATTTTGAAAGATAACTATTGGTTTTGTCATTGCCTTTCATCAGTTAGATTATTGCAGGATCCCTCTTTTGGATAAGAATTTTAAAAATCTGAGTTTTCTACATG